TGCAGATAGCCCCTAATATTTTAACTACTCTTTTTTCTAACTCTACTCACAGTGGGTGCTTAAAATGCTAGCGTCAACCAGTGCCTTGTCATGCCATCATTGCTATCACCAGAGGAGCTGCACTTATGTTGCCAACAAGGGAAACTTTTCCTGAAAAGAGCGTAATGCAGACAAGGTCTTACTGACATTACACCTGGGGGAGTTCTGCGCCACTGTGTGCAGGCAGAATTCATGTCACCTGCAGATTTCTTTGCTTCCGTGCAGAAAAATGACTTTCTGACAGGGAAGCAAAGGGAACTCACAAGAGCGGTCATATGCCTCTCCCCAGCAGTGCAGGTGCTTGGTTTTGGGTGCCCGGAGCAGCCAGCAGAGAGGTAAATCGCTGCGAGGGTGGGCTGGGTATTCCCCGACCGATGCCGGGTCAGACCCACCCTTGTACACCCAACCCCAGTGCATCTGCCCCCCCCCAACACTCCCCCGCTGTGCCTCGCATCCAGAACCTGACCCTCACCCTGCCAAGCCTTATCCCCCGCCCCCCCGCCGAGCCCCACTCCCCCCACCTCAGGGCTGGGGACGTTTCTGCCAGTGGGTCCTAACCTGTGCCAGGCTCAGCGGCTAGTTCCGGCTGGGCTGGGGGTGGGGAGGAGGAGCGCATTTCTCTTGCATGGAGTGGCCAGGGCCAGGTCACCCCCAGAAACCTCCCCCAGCTCTTCATGCCTCCCTTCCCCCCCGCTTCTTGCCCCCATTGATCTTCAGCATGCATGGGAAAGGTCACTATACTGGGAGCTGCTCCTCTCTATGTCCAACACCTGTGCACCTGAACGTCCCCGCTCCCTTCACTCGGCCCTCCCCACTGAGCCCCACCCCATGCATCCAGACCCCCCCACACACCAAGCCCCTGCACCCAGACTCCTCCCATTAAGCCCCCTGCACTCAAACTCCCATCCTGATGAGCCCCACTCTCTATGCACCTGGACCACCCTGACGCCCCCATGCCTGAACCCCCATCCCACTGAGCCCCAACCAGCTGCATCTGGACCCTCATCCCACCAAGCCCCACTCCCTCAGCACCCTGAACCCCCTGCCAAGCCCCCTCACACACACACCCCTGCTGAGCCTCAACCACCTTCACCAGGACCTCTCTAAAGAGTCCCACTGCCTCTGCACCTGAAACCCACCAACAAGCCCATGTGCATCCAGATCCCCCACCTCACCTGGACCCCCGACTGAGCTTCCTTCACCCAGATTGTCCCACACACACCCCTCTCAGCTGACACCTGGATTCCCCCACACTAAGTCCCCCCACACTTGGATCCTGCCTGGCTGAGCCTGCCTGTCCAACCTGTCCAAGAAAATAGATACATTAGCCATGCCTCTCAAAGCCAACTATGGGACTGAGGCCTGGTCTACACTAACCCCCCAAGTCGAACTAAGGTACGCAACTTCAGCTACGTGAATAATGTAGCTGAAGTCGACATACCTTAGTTCGAACTTACCGCGGTTCAGACGCGGTCCACACGTGGCAGGCAGGCTCCCCGTCGACTCCGCGGTACTCCTCTCGCCGAGCTGGAGTACCGCAGTGGACGGCGAGCACTTCCTGGTTCGACTTATCGCGTCCAGACCAGACGCGATAAGTCGAACCCAGAACTTTGATCGAACTAGCGGCTGGGTGTAGACCAGCCCTGAGTGTGCAACAGACCTTCTAAGGCCAGTAAAGCCCTTTGTTCATTCCAGGATAAGCCAGAAGGACACCATACAGATGGGTGAAACCTTGGGATATCCATTAAGGTTTCAGGCTGCCTCATTAGGACACTGCATGATGGAAACTGAAAAATAAATGTGACATTGGGAAGAATGATGGTGGTTTTGCCACATAAATGTTTTTGGAAAAATGCTGGTGTTGCATAACTTTCTTCTAGCTAATTAAAAATAGAAGGGAATTATCAAAAATTCAACATACTTCATTAATTTCCAGCTGATATTACTGTTAGATTTTTTTAGTATAGATGTAAATGTGTATAACTGCAGGTTCCCTTGGAGATTGATCCAGGATAATATGACATGATGAAAACCTAAGATGGTGCCTTGGAGCTCTTAGCTCAGGGCTAAGCAAAATGATGATAAATTTAAGAAATTTGTATTGGAACATAATACAAAAAGTGTAGAGCGATCATTTTAGATGTAAATATAGGCACAGTTATGAATGTACATGCCAGCTTCATAATTTCAAATGCCGGGGGGGGGCGCAAATCAAATACACAGAGAATGTAATTAGATTCTTTGAAAATAGCTATAAATTGTAATTGCTTTCTTCACCTTTTGGAAAGCTTGGTGGAACCTACCTGCTGTGTCAACCGTTTCATTTATTAGCTAATTTTAGTGTGCAACCCTAATATATACTTGTTGTGTCAACGCAGTTATCAACACCTTGAAGACTGTCAATTAATCCTGCTAAAACTTGGTTGTCATTATTAGTTTTTGATGGTAAAACTTCCATCCTTAGCCATTTAAACACATTACCTTTTTTGAAAAAAAAACAAAAAACATTAAGACACTACTTGCTAGTAGTCAACCTGAATTCTTGGGCCCCAGCTACACTTCCGAAGGAGCCATGATTGAAAAATATTTTATTACTGAAAAACAGTCAAATATGGCAGCCTTATGCATACTAACCTTTTAAACTGTATTAGTACATTATTTATGTAGTTTTCATATAGAGTTCCATCATGTGTGGACAGGGTGCTGACAGGTAACCAAATGCCTGAATATAGAAGTAGGGTCAACCTCAAGTAATTCCCCATCTCCCACAAACAAAACCAGCCTGTTTGTAGGCTTTATTTTGGGAAAAGCCAGAGTCACAACTTTGACTACATTTATGAACTATCCTGTTGAAGAAATGTTTTAAGGTACTTATTTTGTAATGTGGAACTTTCAGTAATTCTTGAGCAAAATCACAAACTGGCAATTATATTAGTTGTTATAATGTATCAAAGTTGTGCTAAAAGTCCAAATGCACAATAAGTCCTTTTCTAAAATGTCTTCCTTTTCAACTTGTGCTGAAGCTTACAATTCTAGTACTCTTACCAGTGCTGCTTCAGCCCAAATTGGAACCCTGCCTACGCAAATATTCCATCCTTAGTTCATGTGATAGCAATTGATTAGTAAGCCTGAACCTGCCCACAGCTACTTCTGTTTTCAAAAGCTGTCTGAACTCAGTAACAAGTCATGTGCTAAGAGTATTTAAAGTACTTTCACCAGGTCTTGATTATGTTTTCTGTGATGGCATTAAACTGTTTCCTGCCATTTACTTTAAAGTAGTTAAACTTTCAATACCCATTGTATCTGTTGCTGATTTTATTGTTCAGCACCGAGACATATTCCTAGGTAGATAGACCTAAGGTGACAAGCCAATAAATAACTACATCTAATTTTTTTCTCAAAAAAGCTAGTTCTCTAATAACTTCAGATAAATATACCATCTGTGCATGATGGTAACTCTTGAGGATACTGGCATTCTAGTACAAAACTGGCAGATCTCTAGCTCTTAAGGTAGTTTTTTGTTTTGTTTTTTTGTTTTAGCCATTCAGGGCAACAGGTGAAGAGGGAGAAGGTGCCATTTTTCCATAGTTTCAAGGAGAACAACATTTTAAGTTAAGGCTGCTACATGAGGTGAAACTTACACAAGTTGCACTCAAAGAATATTAAATATACAAGAATTGAAAGTTTGGGAATAAGTTAAAGTTCTATAGATTCCAGTATCTTGAAGTTGTAACAGATTTGCAGGTCTTCAAATAAATGTAGTGAAAGTTTCACAAACAGCCTTACCTCAGACCCTTGTCCATGCCCATGAGTCTCTTGATGTTCAGAGATCTGAGCATGCTGATCCATCTATTACAAGGATGGTAGCTCAGACAGGGAGTTTGATGTTATAGTAGACATTCATTCTTTTTAATTAAAAAAGCAGGCTACATTTAATTTACATTGTAGAAGAAATATATTAAGAAGCATGGATAGGCAAGAATACAAGCATTACAAAAGGTTACACGAGAGTCTCAATTTCACCATTTAGTGAATCTTCACATCCTTTTTTTCAAAGCACAAGCAACCTTAAATCTGGCAATTCCTAACTTTCGAAGCATTTGCAACCTAAAGAATGTCCTTTTAATATTTTCTGCATGCAGTTCCCTAGTTTTTTTTTTAAAAACAAATTCTGTTCTTTACAACTGTAACAATCTCCCATCATAAATAATCAGCAGAGTTTGAAACTGAACAATTCACATTGAAGCACAAATGTCTATCACTTGAGCTACAAGACTAACACTAGCTGGTAGCAGGAGAAAGCTGGTATCTGGGAGGTGGGATTGGGGCACTAGGACCAGATGCCAGGTCTATGGGGTAGTCAGGGGAAGCCTGGCCTGGTTCTCTTCTCCAACCCCCAGTGTGGCTGCTCCAGCAGTTTCCTGGTGTTCCCATGCAGTGTCTGTTGCTGATTTGGAAGCTGAATGGACATGATCTTGGAATATTCATGTTCAGTTATTTTGGCTAACGTATTCCTAGGCAACACAAGTGAGAAAGGAAATGATTATTTTCAACCATTTATAGCTCAGCAACACCTGAATGAAATTTAATGGGACAAAGAAAACAATTCTCTAGCCCAAGGACTTTCTCCCTGCTGAATTTCAAAGACCTTCTGTAAACTATGGAGGTTTTAAGAGCTTTTCAGAAAAGGTCATGAATCTTTTATAATGGAAAGTATTATGCAGTGTTAGGAAACCTAAATATATGGGTTAGTACCAGTTTCCCCTATAACAAAAACTGCAAAAGATGAAACATGCTTCTCACTGGAAATTATAACTGATCTGGAGAAATTACACTAGTACAAAGAGACAAGATGTTCTAGACTTTTAAGAATTTAAACAGATTCTTTTTGTCATGATTTTCTTTATTGGAGTGGGTTGGTGAATCAAATATATATTGAGTAGTTTGTTCTTTATTTTCAGAGGTATTGTTGCCAGTATTTTAGTTTTCTTATGTTTTGGAGTCACTCAAGCTAAAGATGGACCATTTTCAAGACCACATCCAGGTAATTTAAATAATTTAACTTTTTCCAAGTGTCTAATAAATTGCTAACTCTGTAGAAGTAATTTTACCATTTCATAAATAGCCTCTACGTTTTTATGATTGGATGTAAATGTTAGCATTCATAACTTTGTTTTATGGCATACTTCCTTTATATGCAATGTAAATTCATTAACATTATGATGCAACTACCGAGTAATCTTAATCCCACATCTTCTGCCTTATACTGCAACAGGTATTTCCAAGACTACTTCCCCTATTTATCCTTTGGACACTTAAAAGGAATTTGAGATCCTTGCCAGATGGCAGCCCTAAACATTCCCTCTTTCTGTTTTCTGAAAACAACCGCCTAAAAAAGGGGAATATCAATTACTCTAAACAGCATGCATAATATGTACTATCTGTTTTTTAAAATCAGCTAATTGCATGGGATTTACCCAGCTGTCCCTGGTCTGCATTTCACATTGCTAGCAAAAAGGCTCACATGGTCCCCAGTTTGGAGAAGGTAGTCAAATCATCCCTTAAACCTCAGCTCCACTTTACCTATAAAATTCCATTTTGGTATGTAACTGGACTGTGCTTCTGCTTCTGCTCCTTCATTGACACAGATGTAAACAACTCACTTGGTTATGGAACTGTTGTTACAAGTAATCTGAAAAATTACAAGAGGGCCTTTATTTTACTTTGTGTGTGAGATTTCTGCCCCATTGATGAAGTTTGTGCTGTAGGACTTCAGGGAGTCTTTATAAAACAGCAACATAAAACTTCTGTGGAAGTAATCAAACTTCTTGCTGCTGATTCTTTTTCCTTTTTCCTGGCTATTTTTACATTTTGGTAATGATAGTTTATAAGAATGGGGACAGTTATATAGACTTGCATATTCAACTTGAGAGCATAGGCCCCAAGTTATGCGTACACTTAAAGAAAACTGTAACTGAAGCATTTCTCATTATTTCATCCGAACCTTTCATGCTGGGAATCCTGTTTTTCCTAGAGAATGGTAGGCAAGTTAAAAAGAATCCTTGGAGAGAGAAAGTTGAAGGTTGTCTTTCTGCAAGGAGATAATTGAAGAAATACAGCAGTGAACTTGAACTGTTTTAAGTTTAAAACCCCACTTTCTGGGCAGCCTACTGCATGGCAATTCTTTATTTTTTTTTATTCTGTTTTTGAAAGATCTTGTTGCCTTTAAGGACTTCAGAGATGTTCTTGGAGATATGCTCCATACAGTTTTCAGCTCTATAGCATCTAGAAATGTCTTCTACCTTTTATAAACTATAGACCAGGGGTCGGCAACCTTTCAGAAGTGGTGTGCCGAGTCTTCATTTATTCGCTCTAATTTAAGGTTTCGCGTGCCAGTAATACATTTTAATGTTTTTAGAAGGTCTCTTTCTATAAGTCTATACTATATAACTAAACTATTGTTGTATGTAAAGTAAATAAGGTTTTTAAAATGTTTAAGAAGCTTCATTTAAAATTAAATTAAAATGCAGAGCCCCCCAGACCAGTGGCCAGGACCTGGGCAGTGTGAGTGCCACTGAAAATCAGCTCGCGTGCCGCAGGTTGCCTACCCCTGCTATAGACTGTTGAAAACAGGAGAGTTCTACTGAAGCCTGTAGTTTTGATTCTGGTGAAAGATGTATGAAACGGGGGCTAAGGAAACTTCTATGTGAATTTCATCATTTGAACAATTGTCATATTAATATTCAGACTAATTGTTCAACAGCCCAGGGAGCACACACTCAAAGTCAAGATAAGGCCTGAATAGGCTAATTTACACAGATTATGCCCTGCATATCACAAAGAAGCTTTTATGCTCTCAGCTAGAGCTAGTTTTACTAGAGCTTTTACTAGTTTTATAGTATTGTAACCTGAATGTGTTAACATCTTAGTCGCATTAAATATTTACACCCATATCTGGATTTCAAAAGTAGGCTGCTTCCTGATGTGCTTAGAGGAGATAAAAAGGACCATTTTTATGAATGAATGAGTGGTTATCTTGTTCTAGGCTAGTTCCCCAGCATAGTGTGTACTCTAGGGCCTGCTGGAGGCAACTGGGTGTTCCTTTAGGAGGAGAGTGTGTTAGCCTCCAGCCTTCTCGTGGATGGGGAGGCTCTTGCAGGCATGGAGGTGCATGGTGTTGCAGTCCTCCATGGGAGATCTTTGTAACTAGAGAGTATGCACTGGGAGATGTGGAAGAGTAAGTGTATTGGTGGGGTGCTAATAAGGAAATGAGTCTTCAGTGACCCCCACTTCATGATTCTCTTATCCCTGGAGAAGTGTCTCATTATCCCAAAAGAGCCACAGCATGGCTTGCTGGTATATACCACTTCCTTTATAGGTTTTGTTTTAAATCTTGCTAATAACAGATTTGGGAGAAATAATCTATCTTGTAGCCCAATGTCTCATCAATGAAGCTCTTCAGTATTCTGTTTGCAGTGGTGTTGTAGCTGTGTCAGTCCCAGGATATTAGAGAGACAAGGTGGGTGAGGTAATATATTTTATTGGAGCAACTTCTGTTGGTGAGAGTGACAAGCTTTTGAGCTCCACAGCGCTCTACTTCAGGTCTGGGAAAGGTAGATAGCTGTGACACTCTTTCCTTTGTTAACCTTTCCTCATCGGTCTGGTTTTCTAAACCTTTTATCACTTTTGTTGCTCTCTTCTGGACTCTCTCTCTACTTTATCCAGATGTTTCTTAAAGTGCCCAGAACGGGACACAGTACTTACACAGCTGAGGCCTCACCAGTGCTGAGTAGAGCAGAACAGTTACTTTCCATGTCTTACATATGACACTCCTGTTAATGCAGGAAAGGCTAACATTCTGGGGTGCAACTGCATCACATTGTTCACTCATGTTCAATTTGTGATCCACTATAACCGCCAAATCCTTTTCAGCAGTACTACCGCCTAGCCAGTTAGTCCCCACTTAGTAGCTGTGCATTTGATTTGTCCTTCCTAAACATAGTACTTTGCACTTGTCTTTACTGAATTTCATCTTGTTGATTTTCAGACCAATTCTTCAATTTGTCAAGGTCATTTTTAATTCTAATCCTGTCTTCCAAAGTGGGTAGCATTTCCCGGTGCCATCAGTACATTTTATAAGCATACCCTGCCCTCCTTTATCCAAGTCATTAATGAAAATATTGAATAGCACTGGACCCAGGACAGAGCCCTGCAGGATCTCACTAGATGTGTCCTCCCAGTTTGACAGTGAACCGTTGATAACTACTGAGTATGGGCTTTGAGTTTAGTTGTATACCGATCTTATAAAGATCTGTGTAGCTGTAATTGGTATGGTGAGGACTTGAAGCAGACACTCCTTAAGGAAAACCATACTTAGAAATCAGAGTCCAGACATTTCTCACTTTCTGGTTTGGGCATGAGGGATTTATGCTGCTCTTCACAGGGTACGTATATTAACTGAAGGAAAAAAGAGGTAGGAGGATTCCTTTTTAATACTTCACAAATCTGTCAAATAGCTTAAAAACAGCAATCTGACTGGTTCTACTAGCATCTCCCTCCCCTAGACTCCCCATTTAGCAAAATCCAAATCTAGCTTCTGACAAAGCATTGACCCCATATTGGGTGAGGTGGTATTTATAGTCTAGATGCTTGAGGCAAAAAGCCTTGGTGCTTGGAATAAAACTTGCAGTTGGTATCTTTCAATCTGAGATTCTTCTAACTTGGAAGCATTTGAAGGCATTAATTGACGGGAGCCAACTCTTGAGCCCTCTCAAAAACTATCCCGGAATTGATCTTGCTTACTAATGCCCAGAAACAAAAATTTGATAGATATCTGATATTCTATTTCTTTCCCAAGGACTATCAAGCTTGGTAATGTCAGACTGGTGAGGGGACACCGACAGTTGTTGAAGGGGAACTAGCAATAGTAAGCTAGAACAAAGCAACTTGCACTGTACAAATTACATTGTACGTTAGTGTTTTTCCTTGAGGGAAGATGCTCTAATAAGGTTGTTCTCATAGTGCTGCATGACTGAGAAAAAGGGCAACATGAGTAATTTTGGACAAATCCTGTGATGATTATTAAAATGCTAGTTGGGTAATCTGTATGCACTACCTCTGTGGTGTGCTTTTCTCTTAGCTGGTTATTCCAAGAACATATTTTCTCTCTCAATTAGTAAACTTGCAAATAAAACTACCGAAGTTAATCTTCAGTCTGAGTTTGGAAGTTACAAAGTAGAAGCTCTGAACTCCCAGTTATCCATGTCAGAACTGCAGTTTGTCCCCAACATGCAAAGTAGGCCATCCTGATAAGATTTATTTGGCAGTTTTGCTGAAAATGATCACAGCCTCTCACATCTGAAGCTATTTTTAAGATGGTGTTAGGAGCAGTCTGTTAGAAAAGAAACTTTTTTAGCCCTGTGATAGGTTTTCTTTGCTCAATTCAGTCTTAAAAAACAACACACAAAGCAGCCATTTATTCGGCAAGGAAATACTGTCAAGGTTGGTAGGGCTAATATTTGATATTTTTTCCTTATTGATTTGCAGAGTGCATGTAATCCTGTTTAAAGTAATAGTGTGTGTTCTTCTGAAAATCCAATCATTGTCCAGTGAAGCACTGATGAGCAACTCTGACACAAATACACACATTTTGTATAAAAGTTCCTCCTGGTTTCCTTTTTCCATAGGGTTTTTAATGTCTGATTTGTAATATTAGAATTGTTTACCTGTCTTCGCTAGAACTAAGGACTAACCATGAAAAAAACTAGTGGAAGTTGAGGAAATGATCTCCCAGACATGCAACAGCTAATTCTCTCTCCACTTGACCATTTGAATGCTGATTCTCTTGTAGAGAGTCCTGTTTTCCCAGAACCAGTCAGGCCAAATATCCAGGTGTAGCCCTGGAAAGGCAGGGTTCTTGAGAGAGCTATCAAGAAAATCTCCCAGGAATGATTACTGATTGGAGGATCTGGGTGTTATCCGATCCCAAATTAAAAGTTCTTTCAACTGCTCACCATTATGTAAACCAGTGGACATGGTTGGATGAGTTGGTCACATACTACTTGGAGCTTACCCTGAGGTGTTTATCTCCTCTAATGGATGCTTTGTCATAGAGGTGGGCTGAGCCAAAACTCTGGATCACAGTTCACAGCATGGAACAATCTAATGGCCCTAATCCAAGCTCTTGACATACGGGAGAGTTCACATACAGATTGCAAGCTCCCAAGTGTTTAGGTTCAAGGTGTCTGGCTCTGCCCGTTAGAGGGAGTTGACATTCTGATCCAGGGTTTTGATTTTATTATTTATTTGTATTGCAACGGCACCTAGGAGCCCTAATCACAGACCAGGATCCCATTGTGCTAGGCGCTGTACAAATGTAATAAAAACTGTCTGGGGCCCCAATCTCTTTGTGCCCCATTTCTGTCTCCTAAATTTCACTTGTGTAGATGTTGAGAAAAGAAGAGGGATGAATTAGGATAGGATCCAGGTCCTGAGAGGTGGCCCAGGGCACCCACAAAGGTTGGATCCATGGGAGGCAGAAGGACCTATTGCTGGAGTGTTAAGGACTTGAAGTCGGAGGTGGGATTGGCAGAGCAGGGAGCCAAAAACGCCAAAGATACTCTTTTTATTTGTGTACTTTTTTGCTTGGATAGGACTCCAACCTCATACTGGTTGTGGGAAGGTGACTGTTGGTGGAGGGGATACAAGTGGGGTGGAATACAAAGGAACAGTTGTGACCAGGTGCCTAGAAAGGACCACACTGAGAGTTCCACACTCAGGGCAGACTTCATCCCAAAACCTAGTGATTTATTCAATAATTAGATTTACCAAACTAGTAACAAGCTTCTGTAACACCACATTGGTTAACAAGGAGCCAAACGCAGTCCCCTTTAGGCATTCCAGTACTTTGTTCCCTTCCATACAAACTGGTCTAATATAGTGAGAGGTTACTGAAAACCCAATTCACCGTATATGAGGTTCTACCAATCCCAAAGAATCAGACACTTACCCCCAGGTCAATATATATTTCAGATCTTACCCAAATATCATGCTGTCAGCCAATCCTTAGTAAACTAACTAAGAATTTATTAAGAAAAGAATGGAGTATAAATGGTTAAATCATATATTTACAAATGATTGCAAAGTCCTTAGATCAGCTTTGTAGCAGTGATGGAATAATCTGCTAGCTTGTAAAAACTCTCTCTGGTAATGTCCAAAGATTAGAAGATCCTCAGTCCGTTGTTCAAAATGCCCCTTTTAGTTGTAAATCCATAGCCCAGAGAATTGGAGCAGAAATGAGGCAAAACGGAGATGACTCAGGTTTCTTTTATATCCTCTGCCATGTGCATGGAAAGTTACTGTCCCAAACAATGCCCATAGACTCCGTGTATGGAAAGTTACTGACAAAGATGGAGTCAGGGATCACGTGTCCACATCACATGCCCTTACATGTTTTGCTGAATCACAGGGGTGGCCATTGGCTCCTTGCTGTCTGAAGCCTCCTCAGGAAGAGCTATGTGAAGAGTTGATTCTTAATGGCCCATCAAGCTTGAATAGTTCATTCACAATGGGCTGGCAAGAGTAGTTGTAAACTACCTTGAAGAACAAACCCATTTGAAATGCAAATACATAGCCAATATTCATAACTTCAGATAGAGCGATGATACATGGATTTAACCAGGTTAAAGAACGAGGAGTACTTGTGGCACCTTAGAGACTAACAAATTTATTTGGCCATAAGCTTTCGTGGGCTAAAACCCACTTCATCAGATGCATGGAGTGGAAAATACAGTAGGAAGATAGATATATACAATACACACACACACACACACACACACACACACACACACACACACACACACACACACACACACACAGAACATGAAAAAATGGGTGTTGCCAGATTGTAACCTTTCCATTGACACCTTACATGATATGTTTTGTATAACAGTGGTAGCAACAATGATACAAATCAACACCTTCAATCATACAGCATCACAACAGTATTTTATAAAAACGTGTTGTTTGAGGTTAAGACCTCATTCTTCAAACAGGTTAGCTAACTTCCAATAGTTTGCATTGTCTCTATAGATCTTGTCGTGTAGTTACTGTTAAACCCTTTGCTTTTTTTCTCAACCTCTTTGTAATACCGTTTTAATAGTAAACTTTGAAAAATGCCATCTGCTCACCTTTAAGAAAATGTAGCATTCCACACAGAGGAAGATAGGCTTCTAAAAATGAAAGCAGCAATATTGCTTAGTGATCTTAAAGAATTGGGACTGCAATGGAATGGCAATTTTTTGTGTCCAAAAAGAGGTCTGCCAAGGTGTACTAGGCATAGGATAAAAAGTAAAGCTGAAGAGTCAGGTAACATCAGGAAGTGGAGGAGGAGATGGGATTAGTTCAGTAAGCAACAGATTTGCTTTAAGGAGTCATTATAAAGTGTGGTGGGGAACTTGAGAAATCTTTCACAGGGAAAGTCCTGCAAGAGAGATGTAATTCAGCTTTTTTTGCCTTATCTCTGAAACATGCACGTTAAAAGTTTGCTGAATTCTGATGCATTCTTGTGGACCCCTATGAAAAGATGTAGAAGAGCATTATCTTGCATATCAATGGCTCTGGGAGATTAATAGGAATCACACAAGTTCTGCAAGTGGATTGATTTAATGGGCTGTTTGAATGTTGCCTGAATAGACGTGCACCATTTGGGAAGCTTATTGGTAGAGCTCCTTACTTCACTGTTGTGCATTAGTGTTTCCTAAGGCCAGGTCTACACTACCGCGCTAGTTCGGCGGATGGGGATCGAAGTTCCGGGTTCGATTTATCGCGTCTGGTCTGGACGCGATAAATTGAACCAGGAAGTGCTCGCCGTCGACTGCGGTACTCCAGCTCAACGAGAGGAGAACCGCGGAGTCGACGGGGAGCCTGCCTGCCGCGTGTGGACTGCGTCTGAACCGCGGTAAGTTCGAAGTAAGGTATGTCGAATTCAGCTACGTTATTCACGTAGCTGAATTTGCGTACCTTACTTCGACTTGGGGGATAAGTGTAGACCAAGCCTTAGTGGAGGAGCAGAAGGGTGCTCTGTGTGAAATTGTTTTCTCATCATACTACTGATAAACGAATTGCCAAATGATATTTTGCCAGAAGCCTTGCTAACATCCTGTTTGTTTCTGTAGCTTACTGGAGGTTTTGGCTGTGTGTCAGCGTTGTGTATGAGCTCTTCCTCATCTTTATACTTTTCCAGGTAAGGAACTTAAGAATTGACTCTTAATAACAACTGGGGTCTTGCTCTGAATATGAAAGTTCTTTGGTGGTATGGAGGAAAGGTGGTAAAACTACTTAAATATACCCCTTTCCCGTTTCTCCATAGCATGTAGTTCAAACCCTAGGCTAGTTTAAAGCTTCATCAAGATGCTGTTTCCTTTAGCCAGAGATCCTATTGGGACCCAGGAAGTGGGCGGGCAAAGCCCGCCCACTGCTAAAGGATCTCCCCCCCAGCCTAAGGGGGGATCCACAGGACCTGGAGACCAAAAAATTACAGGGGACAACTAATAAAAGAACAGGGACAGGAGTGAGGTCAAAGGGTCAAACGAAGTGAACCAGACGGGGACACCGAGCAGAGAACCCCGGACAGCGCCCACTACTCCTCGAAGGCGTCAAGGGAGCCAGTGGACGCCGCCCAGAGGAACTCTGCCCGGATACGTGAACGAACGGAGGACCTGAAATAGGCCCCACAGTCACAGGAGACTCCATCGGCCAACCTCCTCACTCTGGTTTTATAGATGGCCAGTTTCGCTAGGGCCAAGAGAAGGTTGACCAGGAGGTCCCGTGACTTTGTGGGGCGACGGATAGAGAATGCATAAATAAAAAGGTGAGGAGAAAAGTGCAACCAAAATCTTAACAAAATATCCGCGAGGAGCCGGAATAGGGGCTGCAGCCTGGCGGACTCCAGATAAACATGTGCCAGGGTCTCCCTCACGCCGCAGAAGGGGAAGGTGTCTGGGATGGGGTAAACTGCGCCAAGTACACGCCTGTGCTCACGGCTCCGTGAAGGAGCCGCCAACTGATGTCCCTGGTGGGTTTCGGGATCAGAGTAGAATAAAGGCTGGCCCACCGGGGCTCCTCATTCTCCAGAGGCGGCAGAAGGTCCCGCCACTTCGTATCTGGGCGGGACGCGAGGGTGAGGACATGAAGAACATGGAGCATGAGCGTGTATAGATGTTTCCTTGGCGCGGTCCAGAACAGAACCGGCTGCAGTTCGTGGAGCCGGCTCATGGCGAAGGGACCCGGTGGGGGCGGGGGAGCGGTTGGGTCCACAGGGCAGGGGCCCGATGAAAAAGTCTGGAGGACTCGGAGTGGAAGGTGGGCGGGGCATGCCCTCTCACAGGACCCGGTCGAGATAGTCCCGAGCAGCGGGCGGTAAAGCGGCCCTCGCCTCCTGAAGTACGCTCCGGGGAGTACGAGGTCTGGAGAGCCCCATGCACTGAGCGAGCGTCAGGGGATCCTTTAGCCAGAGATGGTGGGGTGGCTGCATCAGATGACTGGGAGATGGTACTTTTGGGGTATGTCTATACTGCATACTAAATCAAGGTGTTTCCAAGCCCTTGCTTGAGCATGCTGCATTGTAAACCTAGGTCTCTCAGCTGTGCTAACGCAGCCATACTGCACTGTACAGACCTCTCTGGTCTGCAGCTTGAGCTGCATTCACACAGCTCAAGACCTGATTCCCAGTTGGACTTGGGCTCAGACCCCACCTCCTAGCAGGTCCTAGGACCCTGGGTCCTTAATGCTTGCTCACATGATTTGTGTGTGGAAGTGGGGCTTGGGCTAAAACCTGAATTAGAGCCTGGGCTAGTGTGCAGTGTAGACATACCCTTGCTTTCTTTTTTTTTTGCACTACCACAGACTTGCTATTTCAGTTTGGGCAAGTCACATTAGCTCTCAGTTCACTCCTCTGTAAAATTGACATGAAAATTAATTGCCTCACAAGGCTTAATATTTGTGAAGTACATTGTGTATCTTGGATGAAAGTTGCTAAGGAAATATTTCTTCCATTAAAAATAAAATACCTAATATGTACATCCACAGTTGTAAGAAGCAACTGCAAACGAGGTATGAGTGCTTAAGTCTTAAGGAGACTAAAGGAAAGTCATTAGCAGAAAGAGGAATTCATGTACCATCAAACAATCCCCATCACATGTAATTAATTTGATGATGACTCAGAGAATCATAGGACTGGAAGAGACCTCGAGAGGTCATCTAGTCCAGCCTCCAGCACTCATGGCAGGACTAAGTATTATCTAGACCATCGCTGACAGGTGTCTGTCTCACCTGCTCTTAAAAATCTCCAATGATGGAGATTCCACAACCTCTCTAGGCAATTTATTCCAGTGCTTAACCACCCTGATGGTTAGGAAATTTTTCCTAATGTCCAAACTGCCCTTGCTGCAATTTAAGCCCATTGCTTCTTGTCTCACCATCAGAGGTTAAGGAGAACAATTTTTCTCCTGCCTCCTTGTAACAAACTTTTATGTACTTGAAACTGTTATGATGTCCCCTCTCTGTTTTCTCTTCTCCAGACTAAACACACCCAATTTTTTCAGTCTTCCCTCATAGGTCACATCTTCTTGACCTTTAATCATTTTTGTTGCTCTTCTCTGCACTTTCCCCAATTTTTCCACATCTTCCCTGAAATGTGGCACCCGGAACTGGATGCAATACTCCAGTTGAGGCCTAATCAGCGTGGAGTAGAGCAGAATTACTTCTTAGGTCTTGCTTACAACACTCCTGCTAATACATCCCAGAATGATGTTTGCTTTTTTTGCAACAGTATTACGCTGTTGATTCATATTTAACTTGTGATCCACTATGACCCCCAGATCCATTTCAGCAATATTGCTTCCTAGGCAGTCATTTCCCATTTTGTATGTGTGCAACAGATTGTTTCTTCCTAAGTGGAGTATGTTGCATTTGTCCTTTACTGAATTTCATCTTTCAGACCATTTCTCCAATTTGTCCAGATCATTTTGAATTTTAATCCTATCCTCCAAAATACTTGCAACCCCTCCCAGCTTGATATCCTGGATATCTATTTTTTCAGTCTTACTCAATTTGCATCCCCCTGTGATAGGTTGTTGCCTCCCAGGGTGCAGCCTGGGAGCCGTGGGAACCTCTGTGCCCCTCTGCGCTAATTATAAGTGATAGCAAACAGATCAAAGCAGGTTACCTAGGAAATTAAACAAAAAAACAGCAAATTAAGCCTAAAATACTAGATAGGATTTGAATCGGTAATCTCTCACCCTGACTGTTGATACAAGGAGTCCACCAAGTTTCCATACACAGGCTAGAAATCCCTTTAGCCTGGGACCAGCACTTCCCCCAGTTCAGTCTTTGTTCCTCAGGTGTTTCCAGGAGTTCTCTTGTGTGGGGAGAGAGGCCAGGAGATGGTTACTCCCTGCCTTATATAGCTTTTCCATATGGCGGGAACCCTTTGTTCCAAACTCAGTTCCCTGTCCAGTTTGTGGGAAAATACAGGTACCAAAATGGAATTCACTGTCATGTGTTCTGGTCACATGCCCTTCCATATCCTGCTGAGTCATAGCAGCCATTACTTACAGGGTGACTGAAAGGTTTACAGGAAGGCTAAGCTCTTCCATGGTCCATTGTCTTTGTTGATGGACCATTAGCACTGTCTAGCTTCATCATTGTTGTACCTGAAAGGCTAGCTGTAGGTGTTTTCCAGAGTAAGCACATTTGAAATACAGATACGTAGTCTATATTCATAACTTCAGATACAAAAAAGATGCATGAATATGAATAGGATAATCATATTCAGCAAATTGTAAATTTTCCATAGACACCTGACAAGCCATACCTTGTACAAAATGCATGATAATTATGTCATCATCATGTCACAACCATACCACTATGATGAATATGGGGCATATTGTCACGCCTCCCACCCCCAAAAACTGAACAAACCAAAATACGTGTTTTGTTTTTGTTTTGTTTTGGTTTTTTTTCAGGAAATGCACGTGATGATAGTTCAGCCCAGAGGGGGAATATTAGAGTGATCAGAATAGAAAGGCTTGTGAGTCTTTCTGTTACTTGTGATCTTACTCTTAGTCTACAGTTCTTATTTTGCAGGCTATTAGGGTATTAAATGCTGAATTAATTGCATTTCATAACTAGAGACTTTTTCTCATCTTGAAATCTTAGTAATATTTATCTCAAGTACAGCTCTTTTGAAAATATAAAAACATTAATTATCAACACCGCTATAAGGTAGATAAACAGCTCTATTTCACAGGCTTCCACGGTAGAGGGGAAAATCAGGCAAAGTTAAAGGATTTGACAATGGTGACAAAGTGAAAAACTGGGATTAGAATTCAGGAGTTTTTGGCTCCCATCTTCTCTTTCCATTAGACCATGATGCCTACTTTGCAAACACGATCTAAATGTTTAGCAAAACTTTTGAAGTTCATCTGAAGTTTGCTCTGGGTCCATACTGCTTCAAATAGCACTCCCTCTCCTTCAGCCTGATTACCTCCCCAAAAGTCAGTGGCAGAAGCCTTAGGAGCAAGAGAGCAGTCAGTAATTCTTACCTCTAGTGGCTTGTCCAAACTGATTTGTACTAGTACCCACTGAACCAGGCCACTGTGTCACGCTTAAATGTTTTTGCCTGTGCTTACATGACACTTGATTACTAGATCTTAACTAAATTCATTCTTTTATGTCTCTTTCAAGCTGTCTGCCCCCTTGTGTTGAGGTCTTGAGCCTTTTACATGATGGACAAATTTACCTTTCTCCTTTTGTTCCTTTTTAAGTAGTTTGTATCCCTGAGTAATCAGTCCCTCATTCAGTCTCATGTCCCCACCATGCTGGTTATCTTACATTTTCCCAGACAGCATTGTTGCAGCTTGCTCTCAATATTTGATTGCTTCAGTTTGATTTCATATGCTGAGCTATACTGCTGTAGTTTTTCTTTTTTGGATAGCAGTTTGTTTAGAATTGCTTTTCTTTCCTCTGGTTATGTGTCCTGCCACCTTCTAGGTCTGCTCAACCACTAATTGCAAAGGACATGTTTACTAGCTATTGCCCAATCCTTCAATTTTAAACCAAATATTTATCTTGTAAATATTTGAACATACATTTTTCTTGGACTTAGTCTGTTCTCTATAGATCAATATTACCGACTCTCCTAAAAGCCAATACAAGCTCGTTTGTGTAACAAATCTTTGTTGTGGTAAATGTGAAATTAGTCCAACTTGACTACTTTGTTTTGTCATGTTACTGACTTTGCTTACACAGGTTTGATTTTCTTTCCCCCCCCATTACACTTTGCTGGTTTGATTCCTACTTGTCTGCTCATTAGCCTGTCATGACAAACACTACTCCATTTATCATGTTGCTGCTAGAGTAAAGCATTGGCTATGACAATGTTTGTGATTCCATTAGGAAATATTTGTTCTTTAGCAAATTAGTTACATGTGATGGGGGTTGCTTGTTACATGAATTAATCTTTTTGCTAAAGACTTTCCTTTAGTTTCCTTGAAGTCCTATTGTTCATTATACTGGTCTGACCATAATTTGAAAACAAAATTGTATTTCTTATTTGATGAGGACTTCTAGTAAACTCTAACCATATAATTTAGTTTGATCCTGCTTTTTCTATAACTGAAGTAAACATTTGTGCATGACAACTCCTCTTTGTATGTTGTTTAAGCTGTGTTTTAAATCTGCTGATTTTTAGCATGCATTTAGTTGGCAGACATATGGGCTGTAGCTAGTTTGAAATGCTGCTGGGTGTTTCCTGTCCTAGGAAACCAAAACCAAAATGAACAGTTGATATGAGGACAATAGACATTGTAGCCCCTGAAGAATGAACTGGTATGGTTTGGTGGTTGTTGATTGCCCCGCTGAGGTGATTGGAAAAGGAAAGAGGGTGGGTTATGCCTCAACTCTTCAATTATGAGCCTTATAGGCTTTTTTTTTAATTGGTGCATAGAAGCTCTTCAGTAAGTTCAGTCAAATCTGTCTCTGGTTTTCCTAGTCTAGACTGTAGGATTGTACCTTAATACAGTCTTGACTAGACATTTGAATCAGCTTCAGCACCTAGTATTGGAGGTCATGAGAGCCAGGAATATAAATCAATAACCATTCAACCTTCATTTAAGGAGGCTTGACTACATGTCTGAGGTATTCTGCAACATAAATGTAAAAATCATTGAAGATAGGGAATCACTAGTTAGCAACGCTTCAGATTTTCCTGCCTATTAACTATCAACTGCTAACAGACGGATGCGTTAATTCTGCAGACTGTACGCGATGGCAGACAGTTCATGAAATACATTGATCCAAATTTAGGAGTTGCCTTGCCAGAAAGAGACTATGGTGGGAACTGCCTTATTTACGATCCGGGCAACAAGACTGATCCATTTCACAATGTCTGGGTAAGAAATTGAAATGAAAAAGCTCTTGGCTAGTGAGTCTTAATGTTTTTGTGTGAAGTGTTGCTTATTTGATACTCTAATGTGTAGTCTTCCATATATGTTTCATTGCTGAATCCATAATCCATTTATGCCTTTTCTTTAATTTTAGACTTTTACCCACCATTTTCCTTTTTCCTTTTCTCTCTTGATGTTTAGTATTAATCAGGTCAAGATATGCATCTCTTTGTAACCAAATTAACTACTTTTGGAGAAGGGGTAAATGATTTAGCTGTTGTTCAAAGTACTGATGTAAATCCATACCCATTCCTCTGTTCCTACTAGAGTTAGCTTCTGTTTATGCTTAACAGTAGTGTATTTAGCTCCTTTTTACAGAAGGCTAAAAGTTTAAATGCTGTTTACATGCTACTGAGTGATCCACAAATTGCACGCTTTTGTATCTTCACCTGGAATTCAAGAAGCCACATGAATTTTGTTCCAGGTCCCCAAGCCAGAGGCATAAAATCTGAAACCATAGGAATTGGTGTTAGTTATGTACACTGATCTCCAAGCCTTTATGGTGGCTGTGCAGCAGACAAGGTTGGAACCTTTAGATCCACTGCATGCTCCTCTGCCACTTGAGCTAATGGAGTAACTGATAGCAATAGCAAGTTATACTCTAGTGGACCAACACTAGAAGGGGATGAGAGACACCTTTTGCCCATGGATTTTATATCTGCTGACAGCAGAACAATGGTGAGCTTGGGAAACTTGGATTTTGTTCCAGGCTCCCAAGGGGAGCATGCTCTGGTGAGCATAGACCCTTCTGCTGGTTTCCCCGTAGCCTGACCCTTGGCTTCTGCCTGAACCTCTACAAGCTGTCTTAGTCCCAGTTCCCCCCTCCTGGCCCTTCTTGAAGTTTCTAATTTTGCTTTAGATCACATTACTTGAGTGTTTGCAATACTTCATGGCTACAGAGAAGCATATGGAATTTGCATACATTTCAAATAGCAGCTAAGGCAGTTGAAAAGATTAAGTTCTGCTACTGTTTTACCTAGATAAAAATGCAGGCCTTGAGAATAAATATTGATCTTCTGTATAACAAATAACCTAACATCTCTGCTTGGTTTATAGGACAAACTGGATGGATTTGTTCCTGCTCACTTCCTTGGCTGGTACCTAAAAGTAAGAATCAGTCCCTTCTGTGTTCAGATATTTTCATTAGTGCTCCTCTGCTTTCAAAGCTTGACTGCTTCTGTTTCAATGTTACCAGTGTTCAGAATCAATTATATTAGGCAGTCATCCATGAACTAGTTTAAATAAGTGTTTGCATAATAATAAAAGTCTTATTTTTTCTGACCATAGTAGGTCATTTAATTTCTTTTCTAAATAACATTCCACTAACAAGCTTCTGCTTCCACAGAGATGATTCATATTAAGGTCAGATGGATAAAACAAAGAATATGCAAAAGCAAAGTCCTTTATTTTCCCAGCATCCTAAATGCTTGAGTGATCTTAACATAGACTGTGGAAAAGATAATGTGCAGTGTAGACTGTGGTGAAGTTACCATTCACCCTGATACATGATATATCAATAGAATTCCACATGCTAAGCACTTCAACTTTCCAAATAGCTCCTAGTTCATAATTTAAAAGTACTATAAAGGGGCAGTGTCTTAGTCATTGCAACTGTCAGCATGCATGCACCAATCATGGAAGAAATGCCAGCTGAATTTGTCTATACCGGAACATGGGCAGTACATCAGTTACTGAATATTTAGGGCTAAATGTGACTATCCTCTGTTCAAGTGAATTGACTAACAAGTTTTACTTTACCTTACATCCCTTGTTGATCTCTTAGTCTATGTCCTCTCCTGAACAGCATAATTCAGAAAAGGTTAAACTTGAATTGTAAAATGAAACCTGGGATTTATTTTACTGCCACTCCCCATTCAAAAATGCAAGGTTTGACATTGCTGTAGTAATTTGCCATGAATAGAAAAGAGCTTGCTAACCTATATAAGACTTTGTTTTGAAGCGTGTGTGTGATATCAGAGGAATACTTCTGTTACAGTCTGATACTCCTGGATATATAGAGAGAATTCTCAGAATGAGAATTCTGTTGCATTCATGTAGTAATATTTTCTCTATAAAAACAAATTTGACCAAAACTTAGGCAGAGTGTGATTTCCTAGAAAAGTGAGGGACTGGGTGAAAAGACATAGCACAAATAGTAAAACAAGGTTTTTGTAGGAACTAAAGGAAGTTGGGTAGGATACAGGACTTGGATCTCTCTTAAATCAAAGCTCCAGGCCAAGAAGAGTATAGCCTGTATCAGGGTCATGTGGAAGTATGTCCTCTACAGAGAGGTTTATTTGATAATGTCCTTCCTGTCCAACTGTTTGTAGTCCCATCTCTTGAGTCTGGCTCATCTGTTTTGATCACCTATGTGCTCCACAAAGCAGAGATTTGTGTACTGCATAGCAAAATAAATATGCCTCTTGTATTCCTCTCTAGTCATTAAAACATTCCTACTCCACTTTGTTAGCTTGTTTTATCTTTCATACTACTTGAATGCAAAAGTGAGCACATTCTATTTTCAATTTTGCTTGTGACTTGAATAATTAAAACAAACTCTTACCTGTTCTGCACCCTGACTCCCCATGAAAAACATGGAAAAAATTAAGGGTCTTACTTTTCAGTACTTTACTTATGTGGATCTTTTATTTTATCATCGGTGTTATCCCAGGACAGATGTTGGTTGCACATTATCAGCATAAACATCTTTAAAAGGTGTCTGCTTCTTATTGGCTTTGCCAGGGTTTAGTCAGTGTAGCTGATCACATTAAATATAGAATTACAGCACAACTTAACTGCCTGAGATTAAATCTTAATATAACTCTAAATGCTGTTATCTAACATAAGGTATGTGTATATTTAGGGGCTATAGTTCATAGTTTTCCAAATGTAGCAGGTTTGGGGAAAGCATGTTTTAAATAGGAGGGGCAGAAATGTGACTGGCTATGATTGCACTTACTCTTCCACCTCAGGACTGTGCCTTTTTCTCTGTAGTAAAACTGTGTCCTGGGTCTCACACTAATCTATTGCTGGGCAGGTGCTGTACTGTACTAGTAGAAAGAAAGCTGTGGGAGCCCCAGCCATGTGAGAAGCTCAATCTTTAGCTGCTAGCAGTAAAGGAGGGGCACTTCTTTCTCCTTTCCTGGCTGCTGCATGTAGGCAGCTCTTCTCCCTTTGGCTGGAGGCTGGGGAGGCATTTATATCCTCACCTTCTGACTGCTGGGAGAGTGAGCCCTATGCTACACTCCTCCCAGGATCCAAATAATGATACGTTTACAACCACCCATCCGTCTGAATATTCCTCTCCAGGACCTACAGCAGCACAGTCCGTCTGTCCATGCTCCTGCTCCTGACCTTGCCATTTCTAATGCTGTAAGAATGTTGCTTACAAACCTGCTGCATTTTTACCGCTACACCTTGCAAGCCAGTGCCAGTCATCTTCAATCCTAAAAGGAACTGTTTGGGAAGAGATCACTCAAGTGTCTGCCCTCTCCCAACTACACTCAGTATTGTTGGCTCCTTTTGAGTAAATCGCTGATTGGATGGTTTGTTTTTTACACATGAAAAATCTAAAACTGCAGTTCCCTTTTCTAGCCCCTCCTGATAGGTGAGGGCTGGGAGTGCTGTTCAGACGTGCGGAGCAGGATCAGAACAGCACCCAGTGAGTTAAGTGTGTCACTGAGAAGCTTAGCCTAAAACATGTACCTGGATCTTATAGGAAATTTCCACTTAGTGCCTCCTATGCAGAGTCACTTGGAGATGTGATGCGAGTATGGGGGAACACAGACCTATTGCTGATTTGAGGGCAGTTGGCTGCTTTGAGAATTGCATTAAGCAAGCTGGGAGAGCCTTTCCTGAGCAGCCCCAAAACATTGCTGGCTGCTGCCACCTTCACCTGGTAGCAGAGGCACATAGTAATAGACTCCTGCATTTGAATTGTATTTCCTTCTGTTACTGTATCCTGCCTGCCTGCTTTTATTCTTTGCAAGATATTCTCCAAGATAAATTTCCCTCCCTTTCTTTCTTCAGACGCTAATGATTCGGGACTGGTGGATGTGTATGATCATCAGTGTAATGTTTGAATTTCTGGAGTATAGTCTGGAACATCAGCTTCCAAACTTCAGTGAATGTTGGTGGGATCATGTATGTACTGCATTCTGTATATCTTAAATGCTGAAAACAACTTGATTATCTGATCTATCTATGGCCCAAATAGACATCTAGCTGTAGTGATACTGTGCTACGGCACAGGATTGATGTAGCCGGTGAGCATTCATGTGCTATCTATCAGATGTAAATTTATTCAGTTGTATATGCACATGGAGGTGATTGAGTTTTAGCTCCGTGCCTACTTCCCCTTTTAATAACAGATTAAAAATGTGTATTTGTTGCTTAGTACAAAACCCTTCCCTTGTTTTGATTGCCCAACTATCAGTTGATGTGTAAATACCTTTACTGACAAACATCTGTTCTGTGGAATGGTAGCCCTATAGTGCACAATTAGATGTCCATCCATATTTCTCTCTGTTCTTGCATATGTTGTACCTTCCACACGAATCTATACTCAATGTATAAAAATGTTTGGATATGTCTTTCTGATGACAGTATAAATCACAATATTTGAAGATTGAGGAACACAGAGAAAATTACAGGCTTGTATATAGTGTGTATGTTTTTTCTTTTTATCAGTTTCAAATGTGGGCTCAGTGCAACTTGTGTTCAACTTCTCTCTTTTTTGGTGTATTTTGAGTCTTTTATGAAAACCCATTTTTCTCTGTTCATCTGACAACAAACATAGGTGCTTTTTAAAAGACATTGCTACACTACAGTAAATTAAATCTATCTTAACTAGGTCCCTTCTATTGTGTTGGGAGTTCAAATTAGAAAGTCATCCCCAATGCTATTTAAATAGTTTGGTCTTGTAGTGCAGATGGGAGCATGCAATGTCTCAATTACGCTAAACTCCAAGATTTTGGTTTTGTCTATCAATTGTAGCCATAGATGCCTTAGGATACTTAACACTTAGATTTTAAGGCCAGACGGCACTACTATAATCTAGTCTGGCTACCTTCACGACACGGGCCATACAGTTTGAAGTGTGACTTCATCTTCTGCATGATGCCATTAGACATGAGTGTTCAAAGTTTGCAACAAACTTCCCTAGATGTGATGCTATTTATCTATAGATTATTTTTTTTGCATAAATTAATTTTTTATGTAATGTCAACTCTTTGGGGAAAAGTACTTTCTTATTGTTAAAGCTGTAGCATTTTTTAATGTTCACTTTATCTTTTTAAACACATTCCTAAAGAAAGCAAAGAAAATATCTATTTGATCAGTGGATAGCAGTATTGGAAGCTGTCATAGTAGAACTAATGAAGTGAGCAACTTTGAGAGATGCTATCAAGTTTAGAATTAAAAAAGCAGCCAATATTCCCAGCTCTGAGACCCCTTTCAGGAATTAATGCTCAACAGTAAATATAGGGCACGGGAGATATTAAGCTCTCCCATGAACTTTACATCCTGAACCTGGAGACAAATAATCCAGCTGGATATATAGGGAATGACAGGCTCAAGATCAAGAAACACCTTAAATACCAGGCACAGCAAAATCCAGTGCAACACAACCTGGTAATACTCTTTATTTGGTGTGCTTTAAGACGTTCCCACCAGAGATAGGCGGTGTGTGGAGCCACAACCATAATGAGCAGTGGGAGGTCAGTTTACTGTAATAGGACTGATATATCAAGAAGAGGGTTTACTCTTCCCCCTGTTTAAAAATCTGATGTCCATCAAATGCGTATCTAGGCAGCTAGACTTTCAGGAGGTATGAGGCATGTGTCCAAAGAATCTTAATATTGGATGAACTAGCTATTCTGTAAGAACTCACTCCTTTTGCATGAAAACATGTACCTGCACATAAAAGTATATAGTATTTCCATTTTATAGCCTTCACTAGACAATTAAGCTTCAGTTTTGTAGTTCTGCTGCTTAAATACTTATTTTTTTCCTTTCAGTGGATAATGGATGTAATCCTATGCAATGGATTTGGGATTTATTGTGGAATGAAAACTTTGGGATGGCTTTCTTTGAAAACGTATAAATGGCAAGGACTTTGGAACATTCCTACGTACAAGTATGCTACTTTAGAAAAATTTTCCATAACCAAAAGTAGCAGAACTCAAATGAGTTTTGGGATTTGACTTCAAATATACTAAAATACTGAATCATAGGTGAAGTTTTATTTGATTTAAGGATTTAATTTGTATGCTCAAAACAATCTGTAAACTAATTTTCTAAATAAACCTAATATGGGGGATTTTGTATGACTTTGATCAGCTAACATACTCTGAGTTTTAAAGGGACATCTTAAGGAAACCTGCTCACTTCTGTGAGAAGGAGGACTTTTGTTCTGGTTGCCTTATTAGCATTATTGAGGCTTATGTTGGAAACATGTAAGGTCCTGTGTGATGAAACAGACTTATGTCATGAAGGAGCCAACTTGTTCTTTTGGGTTTTGTAATAGAGCAACAGTTGCTTAATCTGACTTTCCTGAGTAGGCAGCAGGTTAAAATACTATCAGACTCTGGCTCCTATTAAGAACCAGCCTTAGCTTGAGACAACAATAAAAGCTATATGGCAACTTAGCGTATCTTAAGCCTCTCTCTGGCTCTAAAAGGAATGTCTTCTAACATGAGCTCTGGTGCCAGCATTCTTGAAATGTACTGGTGGGTGCTGCTGTGCTCTTATTGTTTTCAGTTGCTTGAATTAGGTTGGCATTTAGAACTTTTTAAGCAGTGTTAAAGACAAGTTGAATTGCACACCCACAGATGTGTGTCACAAAGCTGTGACAACTCAGAGCTTCAGCCTATATTAACAGATAAAGCCAGAGCTATATGACATTCAGACATTTCATCATTTCCCTGGTGTCTTCAGTGAAATTATTCTGATTATCAGATCTGTAAATGAACAGCTGGAGAGAGTTCTAGTTTAAGGTATGGGGTATGGAAAAGACACGAGCTGGGGACTAGATAATTTAGGAAGTCTGACTTATTAAATGCAACAAAATAATGGAAACCATATTAACATCCTTTTTGTTTCCAGTTTTTCTGACCACATGTCTCAGGGGCCATTTTCTCATCAGTGATCAGAGTTTGGTAGTTAAACTGGCCTTTTTGGCTATATCCCCATCTGCCGTAGAAGCAGGTTTAAGTGCCTGTAATACCAAGAGTTCCAGCATTGAAATGGTGGAGATCGTGCTGCTTGTTCTAAGACTTGTATTTCATTAAAATCTGTGCATATATGATTGCGTAATTTGGGCAGTTAAAGGATATAGTGATTGTGTAACTGAAAAGTGTATTCAGTGAAGATTGAAGCATATGCAATAACTAGTGGGTTATTTTGTGACCACTGATGCTGAGTTAAATATTAATGTGAACTTTGTTTCATGTAGTGAAAATACATCCTCCCATAATGGCGTCTTCCACATTGACTGTGAAAACTAGAAATGGCAGAGTTGTGTGGCAACCAGACACGTTTATAGATTAACCTGAAATAAATACAGAAAGGAACTGTAGAATGCCTCAGCTCTGGATAGAAAATATTTTGTGAGCAAGGGTGTACTCTAACCTACTTAGGAGTGATCAGGTCAAGAACATTCAAAGCTTCAGTAGAGTTATACCATTATTTCTTCAACTCCTAAGTTTTAAAAATGTCCTTTGATAATAGTTATGCTCTAATACTATGCTCTACTGGCTCTGAATTAGCTTTTTGGAGACTGCTCTTTCTTGATGACACCTAGGATAGGAGCTATCTACTTAGTGCAATGTCTCTGTAAATTTAGTTTTGTAAAAATTAAATAGATATGCTGTTTAGCAGGTTTTAAAATAAGAGTACATTGACTCACTGCGGCTTTCATATAAAAGTGGGTTTAATACGGGGGAATAGAGGGCCCTTAGCTCAGTGCAGAAAAGTTTTGGTGGCTTGAACCGATGCCTGATTTAAAAATTTTTTAAATGTGTTTGTAAAGATTGGATATTTTCTCTTCCTTAAAACTGGTGTAAGAGTGATGTGTGGTGACTTTTTTTCAGAGGTAAAATAAAGAGAATGGCTTTCCAGTTCACACCCTATAGCTGGGTCAAATTTGAGTGGAAGCCAGCATCCAGCCTGCGCAGATGGCTAGCAGTTTGTGGCATCATCTTTGTAGTAAGGAAACTTCTTTCTAAACTAACTGGTAAAATGACTTGTTTGCAGCACTCATAAATGTGTTAATGGGAATTTTGGTTTTGATTTCTGTCAATCCTGGACGTACTACGTGAGACACCCTGGAATTGGGACTGTCTATCTTCCTGTCTGTAAATTGATTTTCAAAAATATTTTTAATCTTGGTTACTGAGTGATATACTTCAATTCTAAGTAGTTTAACATGCATGCTAAGCGTGATTCAATTAATAAATTGTGCTGCCCAAAATGCAGACTTCATATGAAAATATGCCTTTTGTTCCCCACTTCCAGGGGCGTATTATCAAATTAAAATTGGAGATCGCTTCAAACCAGAACCTTAGAGCTCAGCACTTCGGGCTCTGGGCACAATGGATCTAGAACACAGTGTTTTGGCTTAGGCCTATCTAACTAAAATATCAAAGAAAAGATAAGGGAACTAAACAATTGGATGTTCATATTGGACACTCAGTTTTGTCTAGCTCTGTTCTCCAGGGTATTTATGTATTGAATGGCAGGTTTCAAAGTAGCAGCCATGTTAGTCTGTATCCACAAAAAGAACAGGAGTACTTGTGGCACCTTAGAGACTAACAAATTTATTTCAGCATAAGGTGTTTATCTCTGTCTGAGGGATTGCCTACAAGATCTCTATCAAGCATTCTTAAAACTACAATACCCACCTGCTGAAGTGAAAAAACAGATCGACAGAGCCAGAAGAGTACCCAGAAGCCACCTAGTACAGGACAGGCCCAACAAAGAAAATAACAGAACGCCACTAGCCATCACCTTCAGCCCCCAACTAAAACCTCTCCAGCGCATCATCAAAGATCTACAACCTATCCTGAAAGATGATCCCTCACTCTCACAGATCTTGGGAGACAGACCAGTCCTCGCTTACAGAGAGCCTCCCAACCTGAAGCAAATACTCACCAGCAACCGCACACTATACAACATAAACACTAACCCAGGAACCTATCCTTGCAACAAAGCCCGATGCCAACTCTGTCCACATAACTATTCAAGTGAGACCATCATAGGACCTAATCACATCAGCCACGCCATCGGGGGCTCGTTCACCTGCACATCTACCAACGTGATATATGCCATCATGTGCCAGCAATGCCCCTCTGCCATGTACATTGGCCAAACCGGACAGTCTCTATGCAAAAGAATAAATGGACACAAATCCGACATCAGGAATCATAACATTCAAAAACCAGTGGGAGAACACTTCAACCTCTCTAACCACTCAGTGATAGACTTGAAGGTGACAATTTTGCAACAAAAAAAACTTCAAAAACAGACTCTAAAGAGAGACTGCCCAACTCTAATTAATATGCAAATTAGATACAATTAACTTAGGTTTAAACAGAGACTGGGAATGGTTGGGTCATTACATGAATTTGAATCTTTTTCCCCATGTTAAGTTCTCCTCACACCTTCTATGGGTCATCTCGATTATCACTTCAAAGGTTTTTTTTCTTCTGCTGCTGATAGCTCATCTCAATTGATTGGCCTCTTACAGTTGGTATGCGTACTTCCACCTTTTCATGTTCTCTGTATGTATAAATATCTTCTGTCTGTGTGTTCCATTCTATGCATCCGAAGAAGTGAGCTGTAGCCCACGAAAGCTTATGCTGAAATAAATTTGTTAGTCTCTAAGGTGCCACAAGTACTCCTGTTCTTTTTAGGTATTAAATGTATTTATATCACTGTCCCAGAACAATCCAGAGTAAGTGGAGAAATGCAAAAACGCAGCAGACTGAAATGCTTTTGATGCTTTCTCTAGATATTGGACTGTATTATTTACATACTTATATATACAATCTGTACATTTGATAAGCAGACTGTTCTAACAGCTGCTTAATCACTCTGTAAATTAGCGGAGGATGAATGATTGCTATGAAAATCTGATGGCATTTTTATTTTAAGGGTTGCCTAGCAAATTTTTCTAATCCAATTTGCATTGTAGGGCATCTTAGATTGTTATATATTCTAAATTCACTCTTATTGGAGAAGACAAATTTCAGGTTTGTGAAACTGTCCTTTTGGAGCAAGTAATGTATTACTTGTAATTAACAATTTGTGGGATTACCTACAACATATGTTAGGCACTTTGCAAGCACACAGATGATAGTCAATTTGAATAAAAATTCAGACCACCAAACTTTCTGTAATACAAAATTTGTCTTGTATGTTAGATTCATATGCCACAATGGATTTGCTCAGATTGATACAATTTCTTTATGGGAGTTGAAGTAAACAGCAATATTAATAAAACATTCTGCATATCTGTAAAAAGGTCCTGGAACCCAATATGAAAGTAACTTTCATGCACAATAAAAAAGAACCAGCCATTAGTTGGCAGTGCCTATTGCTAAACCTGAAGAAGCTGTCAAGTTCATGTTAGTCTGGGGCAAACTCAAGTCATAGTGATTCTCTTGGCAAAAACAGCTTGCATCTGATTTGTGATTGTTAAACTAACTTCATCTTGCAGATATACCTCAGATTTAATCATTACTTGCTAATATTTTTCATTATATATAATCTTTGGAGCAAGAAACATCCTTCGACTCAGTCTACCATAATAACCATAACTGAAGTGGCTCCCCCTGTAGGGGTTCTTTCTGTCACTTTAAATTTCAGTTCATCTACAAACTCATGTTCTTAAGTAAATATTTAATTACTGCTGCTCAGTGAGATCTTGTCAGTGACACTTGTGTAATTAGTGCCCAAAACTGGATCTGTTGCTTATGTTTCCTGGTATTTTGTGTGTATCTATAACACTGGTCTACAATTTTTGAGAAGTCGTCTGCTTCAGAGATAAAATATGCTATTTATTATGTATTTTGATGTGCTGAATTCAAATATGACAATTAAAACAACTGATTGGTTACTGTTTCTAAGATATTTAAGTTTTTACATTTTATGTCTATGTATATTGTGTAGATAGTTTTAATCATAAATTGTAAACCTAGGTCTTTTCATGTGTTTATGGTTGCTTTACATGATAATATTTCACCTATCCTGTTTATGTAACACTTTAAAAATCAGCACAAGGGTTATATAAATAAAATTTATTATGAAACAAAAGGCAAAAAACTAATCTGTACATAGTTTAGTCCTATTCAGTGTCTACTCGGCGCTTCTTGGCTTCTCTTGTATTCATTAAATGGAGCATCTCTTGTCACTGTCCAGCAATAGTCTGCAAGCATTGATGGGCTCCATTTGCCCTGATAGCGTTTCTCCATTGTTGCAATGTCCTGGTGAAATCGCTCGTCGCTCACTGCTCCGCAGTTCGGTGGAAAAAAATCTAGATGAGAGTGCAAAAAATGTCTTTTTAGTGACATGTTGCAACCAAGGCTTTTGTATGCCTTGAGGAGGTTTTCCACCAAAAACCTGTAGTTGTCTGTCTTGTTGTTTCCGAGTAAATTTATTGCCACTAATTGGAAGGCTTTCCATGCCGTCTTTTCCTTGCCGCACAGTGCATGGTCAAATGCATCATCTCGAAGAAGTTCACGAATCTGAGGACCAACAGACACCTTCCTTTATCTTAGCTTCACTTAACCTTGGAAATTTTCCACGGAGGTACTTGAAAGCTGCTTGTGTTTTGTCAATGGCCTTGACAAAGTTCTTCATCAGACCCAGCTTGATGTGTAAGGGTGGTAACAAAATCTTCCTTGATTCAACAAGTGGTGGATGCTGAACACTTTTCCTCCCAGGCTCCAATGACTGTCGGAGTGGCCAATCTTTCTTGAGGTAGTGGGAATCTCTTGCACGACTATCCCATTTGCAGAGAAAACAGCAGTACTTTGTGTATCCAGTCTGCAGACCAAGCAAGAGAGCAACAACCTTCAAATCGCCACAAAGCTGCCACTGATGTTGGTCATAGTTTATGCACCTCAAAAGTTGTTTCATGTTGTCATAGGTTTCCTTCATATGGACTGCATGACCAACTGGAATTGATGGCAAAACATTGCCATTATGCAGTAAAACAGCTTTGACTCGTCTTTGATGAATCAATGAACAGTCTCCACTCATCTGGATCGTGAACAATGTTGAGGGCTGCCATCACACCATCGATGTTGTTGCAGGCTACAAGATCACCTTCCATGAAGAAGAATGGGACAAGATCCTTTTGACGGTCACGGAACATGGAAACCCTAACATCACCTGCCAGGAGATTCCACTGCTGTAGTCTGGAACCCAACAGCTCTGCCTTACTCTTGGGTACTTCCAAATCCCTGACAAGGTCACTCAGTTCACCTTGTGTTTTGAGGTGTGGTTCAGAGGAGGAGGATGGGAGAAAATGTGGGTCCTGTGACATTGATGGTTCAGGACCAGAAGTTTCATCCTCTTCCTCATCTGACTTAAGTGAGAATGATTCTGGTGCATCAGGAACCGGCAGTCCTTCTCCGTGGGGTACTGGGCGTATAGCTGATGGAATGTTTGGATAATGCACAGTCCACTTTTTCTTCTTTGACGCACCTTTCCCAACTGGAGGCACCATGCAGAAGTAACAATTGCTGGTATGATCTGTTGGCTCTCTCCAAATCATTGGCACTGCAAAAGGCATAGATTTCCTTTTCCTGTTCAACCACTGGCGAAGATTTGTTGCACAAGTGTTGCAGCATATGTGTGGGGCCCACCTCTGTCCTGATCTCCAATTCTGCAGCCAAAATAAAGGTGGTAGGCTTTCTTAACCATAGTGGTTCTACTGCGCTTTTGTGATGCAAAAGTCACTTCACCACAAACAGTGCAGAAGTTATCTGCACTGTTCACACAAGTACGAGGCATCTCTGCTCACTTTGGCTAAACAGAAATGTGTCCCTTTGCAAAATCAAACACTGACAAGTAAGAGAGCACGACACTGTATGATTTCTAGAGCTGATATAGGGCAATTTGTTCAGCAGAGTGATGTAAGCTTCGGTATGATTGCATCATCCATGACTTCTAGGAATAACATGATGCAATTCATATCATGTATGACGCAATACCAGCTTCAGATTGCATCATTCATTGTTTTGCCTAAAAAGCAAGTACTGTCCAAACCCAGTCATAGATTTATTCATAGATCCAGTCAAAGATGTATTTTAGTCATTTCTGGTTTAAATTGAGATCCCTTCCCTTTATAACTCACTTATCCTCCGCCATTCCCAAGTCAAGGGTCGTATATACTGACCCAATAGCATATCTTGAAAACTAGAGCCAATCAACAATTTTAAGCATCATTTTCGTTCTCAGTGACCCATTTATTTCTGAAGCATTTTGGCTGTAGAGCAGTGTAATCAGCCTTTTCAGTAGCCATTGGAAGGACGACTTTTATGCTTTTAGGATTCATTAGTGGTAGTTCTAAAACTATATAAATCACCAGATAAACTTGGTTAAAAATAGAATTAAGGTTGCTGCCACACTTCATTGGTGCCTCACCATGTGCCTTACAAAAACATTTTTTTTTTTTAAATATTCTAATCGCTTCCATGCAGCCCCCCATAAAACCCTTTAATGTTCTTAGGGCACATGACAGGTGCTCATATCTTGGTGGAGGGCATAGCATGAGAGCTGGGACGGAGTAGAATGTTGTGGAACCAATGGCAATAACTTTAGCTCAAGCTTTAACCAAGTTTTGACCAAATCTCCCTTTTTTCAGTGAAAGCAGCAAAGAGTCCTGTGGCACCTTATAGACTAACAGACGTATAGAAGCATGAGCTTTCGTGGGTGAATACCCACTTCTTCGGATGCATCCAAAGAAGTGGGTATTCACCCACGAAAGCTCATGCTCCTATACGTCTGTTAGTCTATAAGGTGCCACAGGACTCTTTGCTGCTTTTACAGATCCAGACTAACACGGCTACCCCTTTGATTTTTTTCAGTGAACGCAACTTGAAATGGGAGAGCAAAGGAAGCTGAGGAAGCATGTATCCCCACTTTCCTTTTGACTCCTCTACTCCTGGCAGCCCTCTATAGTCTCATTCCCCATGCCCTCTCTAAAGACCTGCTGACTGAGTCAGGGCTGCTGAGATCGGAAGGGTCCGGGGGGGGGCGTTACCTCAGTCATAGTATGTGTGTGTGCAGGAGAAAGTGGTAAAGGAAGCATTATGCTTCCTTATGATGAACTATACGAAGTTAGCTGAGTGAAGAGGGCAGGAAGTGCTAGTGCTTCTTGAACTTCTCCTTGGTCCCTCTCCTTCTGGCAAACTCTCCTCCTCTATCCCCCGCATGAGTCATGTGTAAGAACTCCCAGGAAGAGGAGGCTTGTTCCTGTGCTCCCTCAGACCTTTCTTAATAATTAATCTTGGGATGCTCATCTGGGCCTACAACCCCCTATTAGCTTTAATAGGCTCCCAAATTCTAGAGTGAGGTCTTGGTCCTGTTGAAGTCAGCGGGAGTTTTCCATAGTCCTCCATAGTGGAGCCCGGTTTTCACCCCTAATCTGGAGATTAAGTACAACTGCCATTGCTTGGCATTTTCAACCATACTTCAGGATGTGACTGGAAGGTAGTGCTGCATAAAGCAGATAGGCATGCTTTCTCCTTGCTCTTTGTGGGGCCCTCTCTGTACAAGTCTGAGTACACATTTCTATTTTAGGAATAAATGTAAGGAGTGGGGGTGGTCCAGGCTTTACTCACTGAACCTTTTAAAATTAAATTATTAAAATGTCCTTTTTTTTCTCAGTTTTTATTGGCAGAACTGAACACGTTTTACTTGAAGTTTGTCCTGTGGATGCCACCAGAACACTACTTGGTCCTGTTACGACTTGTCTTCTTTGTCAATGTGGGAGGTGTGGGCATGAGGGAGATCTACGACTTCATGGATGACCCGTAAGCCAGTCGTTTTGTCTGTGCAATGTCAAGCTTTAATTGCTTTCTTTTTAGCCTTGCTGCAGTTTGTTGGTGCAAGTTACCGTAGAAGTGGATCAGCCTATTGGGGCAAAGAAGCCCAGTCCTCAGCACTTGCTTTGTTTTCCACTGTGCACCTTGATTATAAAACATATCCCCTCTTGTAGGCTACATGTGGTAGATAACAGGTGTCCGTATAGACCATTTTACATGGGCAATATTAAATTTCAGTTTTCTTGAACAAAAAGTTACCATATTCTTTGAACATTTGAATTACCTGGAACACTTCTTTTATTTGTGCGAGGTGGCATTGAACTCCTTTCACATTTACAAGCTTGGTGCTACAGTCCTTAGACTTAGCTTCTAAGGACTGCATGGTCCAGCCCTAAACCCTTTTTCTTAAAGGTGCTTCTTTCTTCAGCTATCTTCCAACACTTTTCTGGTCCTCTGGAGCTTTTGCTGGCACCACCTTGCAAATCAGAGGACCCTCTGGTGATGCATTTTAGGGCAAAGAACCCCCTCCCCCACAACAGTGCAGGTAGTAGGCACCTGTCAGATTGCTCTTATTTAAGCATCATATTTGTCGTTGCTGCTTTTATTGTTTCTGCAGACTGTAAGATCTGAGAATGCTTAGTTCTCAAGTTCAATTTTTCTGTTAATTTACAGTGGTAATGTCACAAATTGGCTGACCACACTTCTTAAGGCTGACACTACCTCTCGCTTCAAAGGATGCTCGTTGTCTGTCACTGACCAATACAAAAAATGTCTGTGTTCAGAATTTAGGGTTTTGACACTGAAGGTCAGTTTCACTTGCAAGGCTTTGACTCATAGAACTGGAAAGAAGGGTCAATCCAGATTATTTAGTTGGATTTAAGGACATTCAGCAGTAACAGGTGGTCCCCTGCCACCTGGTGTTGGACCTACTGGTTTGGGACATGCCTCCATTTCAAAGGTAAGACGAGGTCTCTACCTCTTATTGGTGAGCTCCGCTCCTTAGCAGCACACCCCATCTTTTGGTCCCTGTGTTTGGGTTGAAAAAGCAACTCCTTTGCCCTCTGTTCAACCACATGGCATAACATTGAGACTTAGGAGAATCATCAGTCATTAGTCTCTCATTGCTGATTCAGCGTGTTGCCATTCTTTCAGTGATTTGAGTCACAAAAATGAGGAATTCATCTAGTGAACGTACAAACTCATCCCAAGTACCATGTCACCACAACCATCATTAGCTACCTTTTTGTTTCTCTTGGTAGGTAAGGTGACTGCCATCAGCACATTTGAGATCGGTCTGCTGATGAATCAGAAAAACAAACTTCTGTAGGTTCTTTATGGAAGGCTGCGGAATCTAATGCCACTGGTATCTCATTAGTATCCTCTGTCTGCTTAGTCTGATTGTGGTTCCTTCTTGCTTCCCATACCATCACACGAGAGATGACATTCTACTTCTTTTTTCACCACCTGTCTTGGTATTTGTTCCACTCCAAATCACCTTGAGTCAAGAACCCTATTGATGGACTCTTCCAATTCTGAATTGTAAGAAGAAGCTATTGGTGAAGAGCAGGCTGTTCTGGATACTTACTTCCTAGGTACACTCTAAACGCATCCAGTCTGTTCCATTTGAAAACTGCTGTGGCCTCTCAATTCTTTAAAAAGGGATAAAGCCTAGGATATTCCATTGGTCACCTGTTGCCGGAATCAGGGTCAGGATGCCTTATTCCTGGGTGACAAAACTGTTGCAGAGCCAGCCAAAGATCTAACCAGCTTCTGTAATCCTACAATATTCAGCATAGGAAGCAATAAAGCTCTAAACTAAGATATTCATCTTCTCTCCTAATTCAGGGTCATTTGTGGTCGTTTCAACAATTTTAGCGCCAGAGTGACTAGAACTTTCTGGTCCTCCTGATAGAGCATCTAAAATTTATATTAATGGGCCATGAGACTTACAGTTCTGGTGCTGAGAGGCTTTTGTCATTCTGATATCCCACTTGTCCCATCAAAATTGTACCACAGTTAAGAGCAGAAAAGCTCTGAATCTAGGCGGATTCTTCCTTAAATAATCCTCTGGTGCAGTGGACTTAACTGCTAGGTGCATGGCATCTAGAGTTACGCTCTCTCTGTATCTTCCTGTTTCGGGTGTCAAGCCTTTTTCAGAAAGCCTGGAATAAGGCCATGGGTTTTATACTCGGTCCTTGAGCGGAAGAGTGACTTCCCTTTAAAATTCTTTCCCAAATAAAGAGCCCGTAACCAGCTTGTGTTCCTTCAACATTTTCAGTCTGAGTATGGCCCGTTCATCAGTGGTCACCTGGGACTCTTAGTTCTCCTTCCTTAGTTCTCTCACAAGCAGGGTCCCTGAAGGAATGGCTTTATAATCAAGGCACGTGAAAATAGCCAGCTTTCTGCTTTGCTGGCCTACTCTCCTCAATAGGTGTAGGTCAGAACAAGGTTTTTGGAATACTTTTGGTTTTTCTCTCTCTCCATTTGTCACTATATTTCCATCTTAGCCTATTTAATCCTAGTGACACCAGACAATACCTTGTACTGTGGCTCCAAAGATCCCTTGTTCTAGAGCCAGGAGGCTTTTTTAAATTGGAGTATGTCTCTCCAACTCCATCTGCATCCGTCAGTAATTTATGCTCCATTTACCCTATTTTGTTTTCCCCAGAATACCTGGACCATTCTGTCTAACTTGAGCTAGAGCCTTGGTGTCAAACACATGGCTCTCAAGGGCCACATGCTTAAGAAAAAAGAGTATTTGATTATGAGTGGATGTGTTCCTCGACTGTGTCATGCAGTTCTGCTATGGGGAGGCAGTAGAAGGCACCATCTCCCCCACTTCTTCTGCAGCAGCCCCAGGAGCAGCTCTGTTCTGAGCTGGTAATGCTGAGAGACTTCTGTCCATTCCCTGCTAGAGCTGTCTAGCAGCTCCCTGGTTGGTCGCCTGTTGCATTGTAGGGGAGAGAAGTGAATATTTCTGGTTGCTTCATTGCCTGCTTGCCTGCCAGTAGTGGGAGCCAAGGGAACATGATAGCTTTGAGGGGATTTACCTGAGCCCAGGGGGTAAGCTGTTCAAGGATGGATCCCTTCCCCTATACAGCCACCAACTGCAGCCCAGGAGAGGGGAAAAGGGAAGCTAAGAATAAACATCCAACGATGGCTCCCAAGTGCTCTGCCCCAGCACAGGTTAGAGTATCCTAGAGGTATTCTAGCTTGCAGTAGCTGGGTACGGTTCCCAAGGGACCATACACCAGCTGCAGATAGAAAGAGTTCAGTGCCCTCCAGCCACTCCCCTGCCCATCACACACCACCTGCACCAGGAGCTGCAGGAGGGAGGCACAGAAGACAGTTACATCAGCCCTGCACATATTGAGCTGGTGGAGGCCCCAGTGAGGGATTTATGGGTGACTTCTGCTCCTTTTCCACAGCCTGGCAGAACAAGGCAGAGACTGTCCCAAAGTATTGTGGGTGGTCTCTGAACTTTGTCCTTTTTGACATACGTTTGGTGCTCCAGCTGAGCCCCAGCAAGTTAGAGGCTCTAGCGCAGATGTCATGAGCAAGCTAGAAATTCCCAAGGCGGGTCTGTCTATTTTTTAAAAGAACTGCTGAAGGAAGCATCGTAGTCACCCTGACATGTTCATTTCCCCCAACCTTATGTAGCTTTCTAGTTCCTGGTCTCTGCCATGCTGCTCCCCTTCCCCTCCACCTTGCCCCAGTAGCTCTGCCACTCTGTGCTGTGTTCCCCATGGTTGTTTCACTTAGCAGCTTAGGATGCACTCAGAATGGAAGACCATGGGAGGGCTGGGCAAAGAGAGGTAGTATGTAGGGGAGTGAACGCAGAATGAAGGAGAAATCAAGTAAAAATGTGAGAGCCTATCAGAGGAAACAGTTCTCCTATTCCTGATGAATGAAGAAAAATGCTATATTCTTTGTATGGTTTGCCTCTGCTTTTTTACCAAAGAGACAGAGTGGGACAGTGTCAAAGGTAAAATTCAGTCATCTGTATTAGGGCTTCAGAGTGAAACTTTTGTTCTGATTTTTGTGTTGTGGGACACAGACAATCTTTAATTTAGAGATAGGAGCTGCTGGTAGAAGGCTTGAGGATTAGCTGTGAGGGGTGGGAAGGAAGAGGAGGGTCCCTAGAAAAGTGTAGTGGCAGTGTCTGTAGCTGTCATATAAACCAGGGGCAATCTTTTTGTTTCATTTGTACAGTTTCATTTGTTTCATTTTGTTTCATTTTGCCTAGAAGAGTGGGGTCCTGGTCCTTGACACGGGCGGCTAGGCTCTCTGGTAATACGGATAGTAATCCCACAGTTGTTTTGAAAGAACATGTACAGTAGAAAGTGAATACAGAGAATTGTTGGCTGACCTAGGTGAAGTGTGGCCATCTGCCTTCCAAAGCATGGTACTTGGAATAGTTTGATTGGAATCAAATGGCTTTTTATTGTTAGATGTCTAATTTTTGAACAGGTTTTCTGAAATTTGTTCCTCATGGGCATGTAACCTGTGAGGTGGGAGGTCCCAAAACTCAGGCTGCCCCCGAAGCCCAAATGTCTACTCCACAGTTAAACAGCCCCTTAGCCCAAGCCCCTTCAGCCTGAGTCATAGGCCAACTGCAGGTTTTTAATTGCAGTGTAGACAGACCCTAGCAGAGTTATTGCCTTGGCTTCTCCTTGTAAGTATTCAGAGGGTTTGCTTACAATCTTGAGTTTGGGTAGGGTTTAGTTTGAGTGTCACTGATTACTTCAGAGTTCACTAGCAATTCAAATGTACACAGTGTTGCAATTCCCCTTTTGCTTTTCTGGTACTTCATAAGGACTAATTCAAGGGGAGATTAAATACTGAGAATGTTTATGCTTGTAGATAGTTATGCCACCAAAAGCATTCTAGCTCCCTTCCCTCTTCCAATGTCTTATTTTCTGATAGTAAGCATCTTCATTTTCAGTCCCTTAAGAGATGGTCAGATAGGACTAATTAGGTAGCTTTTGTTTGGAAGATAATAGGGCTCAGAATATAGATCAAACACATTGTTACTTAAAAGCATTAAGTACTGTATATAACAAAGTGTGGAATGTGGCTTAGTGTTCATAGAAGATGATCTGGAAGTCAGAGTTCCTCTGTTATAACTCCACTTTCACCATCGACTGTCTATGATCTTGACTTGGTCAGGTAATTGCTTTGTGCCTGTTCACAGATCTATTGAAATGGAGATACTTGCCTACCTTATAAAGATATTGAGGATTAATTCATGTAACATGTTCTCAGAACCTCTGAAATGGGCTGTAAGGGAGAACAAAATATTCAGAGTTAGAGGGAAAATACTTTGGCATACCAATCTGTAGTATGTCCATACATCCATAGTAATGGTTAAGAGTAGACATTCATGCAAGTGGGTAAAGATGAAATACGTATTCCTATCCTCCCTCTTATTTTTATAAAGGTATTGTCGATTGTACATTTGCTACTAAAATACTAATCACTTAATGTCTGTATTTCAGGAAGTTCCATAAGAAGTTGGGTCAACAGGCCTGGCTAGTTGCTGCTATCACAGTCACAGAGTTTCTGATTGTTGTGAAGTACGACCCTTACACCCTAATGCTGTCCCTTCCTTTCTACATTACCCAGTGCTGGATACTTGGAATCATACTTGTGCTCACCTGGACAATATGGCGCTTTTTCATTCGGTAAGCAAAGGTGATAGAGCTCAGATTCCAATGAGCACCAGTGCTCCAAGACCAGGCTTAGCCAGCCCATGTGAACAGTAGCTTATTGTAGAACAAAAGACTTTCAAAGTGTATCTTTTAAAAACTCTATAATTTTGAGTTTCTAGGGGGAACGCATCTCACCAACAGCCTATTGAAGGTGTACAATATAAAGTCTGTTTGGGAGACTTGATTAGGTAGTCTTCAACACATAATATCCACAATGCTTGACTCTGTTTAGTATAATTTAAATATAAATGTAACCAGAATCCTGACAACCAACTTATAACTACTTGTTTTAAAGAACTTAACCAGAAATCTGAAAGCTAGTCTGTGACCCTCACACATTGGTGTATACTTTTGAAGTGAAGGCCAACTGTATACATCAGATGCTCAGTATGCCATGGCCACAGCTGTCACAAGTCATTAGGGATTTTGGGTGCCCAATTTGAGACACCTTTAAAGAAGCCCAGTTTTCAGAAAGTACTGAGTAACCCCCTCTGAAAATCAGGCCTCGTTAAGACTTTTCTCAAGTTGGGCACCAGATTCACTGGTGACTTTTGAAAATGTTGGCCTATATTTTTAGACCATCTAGCTCTGTTTCTAAAGCTACTTTCTGACATTAATGTCTTTTAAGGCTACATACGTGCCAAACTGGAATTATTTTCAAAGCCTCATTTGAATGATCAGATTGAAAATATTGTCTGAAATCTAAGTGATGAGACCCTCATTGTCAAAATGCAAATATGGCTCATGATTTTTAGGCAACTTCATAATAATAATAAAGAATTATGTATGGTGACCAACCACTGGAAATTTCAGCCCGAAAATAATTTTGAGAAAATTGCTGAATAAGCTACTGAAAGTAGGGGATTAGTTTAAAAATACAATCTCAATCTGGATGAAAAACTCCAGTAATTAATACCCAAGATATTTACCCAGACTGTATGTACATACATGCAACAGATGCAAAATATATTGTATATAACATAGCGGGAGTATAGTTGTAAAGATGGTGGGTGGGAGATGTAACATTTCCAGGATGACAAACATATATCTTTGACAAGCACAGCAGGTGCATACGCATGATCTATTGATTTTATATGCTCTTGGCCACTTGCCTAGATGGCAGGGCCCCTTTCAAAAGGTTACATCGTTCTCACTAGAGTGCAGAAGGTAACCCAAGCCAAACTGCTTGTGAGCATGATGTGCACTTCCCTGAGTATCTACCACAGGGGCAGGAATTCTCTTGTCCCTGCTAAAATATCTTAATACAGAAGAGAGACAGAGTAGTTCATAAGCACTTTCGGCAGCCAAATAGGATGCGTTACTGTGTGTGCCTGAAAACAGATTTTTTTCAACATGTTGTCTGGAGACAAATGCATGGCATGTATTTTTTCTCCATGGGACTAGCTCAAGTATTGTCACTTCGGAAATAAACAGCTGAAGGTGCATAACTCCAACTGCCTTCCCGGTAAAGTGCTCTGTCAGGGGAAATGAAGATGGTAACAAAGGTCAAAGTTAAATAGACCAAGAGAGAGGGGACCAAAGGTAAATATGCGTTATAAGTAAGGCTACGTTTTAGTCACTGGTATTTTTAGTAAAAGTCATGGACAGGTCACGGGCCGTAAACAAAAATTCACGGGCCCGTGACCTGTCCATTGCTTTTACTAAAAATACCACCATGACTAAAATGTGGGCGGGGGCCACAGGTGCTCTGGGGGTGCTGCGGGTGCTGACCTGGGCCCTCTGCTGGTGTTGGGGAGTGGCGGGGGGGGAACGGACTGTGGCATGGGACCCCTGCTGGTGCTGGTGGGGGGAGGGTTGGCGGGGCTGGCAGGAGCTTCCTACCCAGCTCTGCATCCCTGCAGCTCCTAGGCGGTGGAGGGGCCAGGGCAGGGGCTCTGCTGCTCCTGCCACAAGTGCCGGCTGCTGCAGCTCCCATTGTCTGGGAATCGCAGCCAATGGGAGCTGCAGGGGCAGGGCCTGAGGGCATGGGCAGCGCACGACGTGGAGCCTCCTCACCCTCTTCCCCCCCCGGCACCTCCGCCACCTAAGAGCTGAAGGGCCATGCCCATGGGAGCTGGGAAGCCCCCCCACCCCGAGGTAAGTGCCCCCCGCATCCTCCAACCCTGAGCCCCCTCCCACACACCCAAACTGCTGCTGCTGGCCTCGGGCAGCCCCTGAACCAGCACCAGCTGCTGCAGAAGTCACGGAGGTCATGGAAAGTCACGGAATCCACGACTTCGGTTACAGACTCACAGCCTTCGTTATAAGAAGTGTGCTGTTATCCAGGTTGAGAGTTTTCCCTAATTTCCTGACACACAATCTAAATATGCACGCTCAGTTTGGACACTACTCCAGGGTGATGGCACCTCTGTGTGAAGAAATAGAAGATGTGCCTTCCTCTTCTATAATCAGTCAGTGGGTGTGGTCAAAGGAATGAGACCAGCCTATGAGTCAGGTCCTGCATGGCAGCTTCCCCGCTACACTTGTGCAGAATGCAGCCTGTGTTCATTATACTTCTGGGCATGGTGGTAATTATTTGTAAGTACTAGCACTAAATGTAAATAAACTTTTTTCATCAACTGAATCTGTACCGTTTCTTACAGGATAAAGGAAGTCCATACAAACTTAGTGCTGTAGTATGAATCAAAATGAGCCTAATTATCCGTGTCATAATGACACCAGGATGTATTTATCCAATTGTTTTTATTGTAAATCTAAGCGGAAATGCTTGATAAGTCAATACTAACAATCTTGTTTTGTTTTTAGTGACATTACCTTGCGGTGTAAGGAGATAAGACGACAACAGCAAGAGCACAAATCTGAAAAGGACAAATGCTTAAGCAACGGTGATGGACATTCTCCAGTACCAGATGAACAAAACGGGAACAAACTGAGGGAAAGAAAATTTTGAACCCGAACAACAGACTAAGGGCTAAGAGAGCAACCTGTGAAAGTCAGCTTGTTTGACATGACTCTCAACCTTATTCTACCTAGAAAACTTCCATTGTTTACCCACGTCTGAAAATCATCTGGGGAAAGATGTCACCATGACCTCCTTCTAGTAAAAGTTGGAGAAAGACTACAATAGATAGAAGTCAGAACCTACACTACTGAAAAAGAAAGGATCTTTGCGTGTGTGTTTTATAAATGTCTGTTCCTTGCAAAATCAAGGATTTAGGGGAGTTTTAAATTAAATGCAAAGGGAATCCAGTGATCCTATTTCCAGTGACCCATGATATTTCAGTTTTGACACTGTTTGGTGGGCCATTAGGAACACTCATTTTATGGACTAAATATACATGGCACTGAATAATTTTGTATTTCTGCTGAAACTACCTTGAGCTGTGACGTAATATATGTAACGTTGGTTCCATTCACCTATTAGCAGAAGTTCAGGGACAGAACTGCAGCAAGATAAACTTAGTGATGTGACTGGAGCGTGTGAACAAGTTGCATCACTTGCACAGCATATAATACAGTACGCAATTGTTACATCCCCTGCAATGCTGGGGTTTGCTGCCTTTTTCAAAGCTGATTTACATTACCATGGTGCAACCTATGACTGTGTTTCATACTACATCATAGCACTGATTATACAGAAAACCTCTCCTTTCGGTTCATTTTTATCCAGGTCATCTCTCAACATAATCGAAGTTTAGGTCAGAACGTTAACCTCCATTGCCTAATGGAGTAAAGTGTATTACAAACAGAAAATTGGTAGTTAATTCCATCGAGGTCTTAAGTTATTTGCCTTATACTTAAAGCATTATTTTTCTTTGCTTGCCAAGACAGCTGCATTCTTTGCTTCCGCTTTGAAGGCAGGTCAAGTTCTGCCATCCTTCAGAGTTATCCTATTCCTCCTAGTGCTAGGTCTGAGCTTTTAGCAACCGTAAACCAACTGGAAAATGTGCATTCTGCCAGCCACTTGCACAATACACAGACACTAAACGCTTTGCTGTCCTAGCTGATGAAAGAATAGGGTTGACTTGATCACTTGTGGCCCTTTCCTGAGTGATGAGAGAGAACCTGCTGTCCAAGCTAGGTGGCATTCTTGCCAGTGACTCAGTGTCTCATAACAACATTTAAAAACTGACATTTCTAATGTCACTGCTCCTAAAACGTAGCGGCCGCAGTAGAATATCAACTTGTCCCATATTGTCCTAGATGCAGGCCCCTGTAATGTAACAAACTGAGAACTTTAACCAACATAACTTTTCTAAAAATACAGAAGTCTTATCTGGCTATTAATCACATTATACACTACTTTTGAGAGAAGCTTATTTATACAGAAGAAAATAATATAAATACGAAAACAGTGTAAAAGCTCAGAATTTCCAAACAGCTTTACCCCAAACTTTCAACGGGAGCTGGAGACTCACAAGCCAAAGCTGCTGGCTGCAGCAAAGCACAAATCTTTGACCCATTTGGGGCTCATACTTGAATGGTAAGCAAAATCCGTGTCTCTCCCGTGTTGATAGTGACACAGATACTTTTAAACAATGCGCAACAGGGTAGAATGTAATTAAAAAATCTACAGTATGAGTGCACCTAAAAAGCTCAACAAATGAAGCAGAGTTTCAGAGCAAAGGAGGCAGGATCGATGGAGTATGGTGGCTGCCCTTCATGATGATGATCAGTAAATTGAGGGGAGGTTGATCAGTCTGAGGGGTCATATGAGGCTTCTTCCTTGATTGTGCATAATGTACTATTGTGAGCCATTAAATGGCTGTTGTTAAACTTTAGGATTTATCTGCTGTAACGTGGTGGTGAATGCTATGGCTGTGTAACTAGATGTTAACAAACTCTTAAATGGGCAGAGGCTGAGTTGAGCAAATCATTTATTTTTAAGCCTTTTTCCACCCTCAAGTATTAATTTTACACATTCACATTTATTCATACCAGTCTTATCAACTATTGACCGACTGTTAGTAGGTAGTACTAGTGTACATGTGCTAATGTGGTCCCAGCTGAGCAAGGCTCAGATGTGTATCTTTTCATTCACTGTTTGTGCTAGTTCACACCATTGTCCCTTTTCTGACTTGTCTTTGGGTGCGTAAACATTCCCATTTCGGTTTTGTGATTCTGGCAGGTGGAATGGGGAGAACTTGGCATTTTACTCTTTTTTCCCCTGAGGACTCTGATATGCAAATTTGAAGGAATTATGGGAAATGCCCATTTCCTAATTCCAAAGCTGGTGTACTAGACAAAACATTAATTTGTCTCTCTATGTTCACTTCAACATGGAGCTTTTAAAGTTACAGGCTGGATAACTGAACAAATAAAATATTTGCTGGTGTATTCTTGGGTACAACCTGTCTGTGTGGTTTACTTTCACACTACCTATGGTAGGTATGGCATTGCATGGCTAATAGGACATCTTGTGCATTCCTATGAGCAGAAAGCACCATTGGATTGCCACTGCATGTAACGGGATTTTGGACAAGTGGCCCTTAGCGTAACAAATTTGTCCAGATGTTCATGGCCACACTTCCATGTGGCAGTCCCCTCCCCTTCCCTGAAAGGTAACTATCTTTGAATGAAATGGCTCTGAATTAAATGATCTTAATCATAAAGTAAAACAACTTGGGTTATTCTAAACTTACTAAAATTATGTCATGTTCTTATTGCTTCCCTTGTGGGGATGTTTTGCATTGCTGGTGAGCTCTGGCCATTGAAGTCTAACTTGTTTTTAGGAATCCCTTATAAAGAATGCTTCCATGCACCACTGTCTAAGGGCTGTGCCCTAGAAGCATGCAAGATTTCAAAGGAGCTGGTATGTGGAGAGAAGGAGAGCTGCTAGGCCCTACTGAGAAGTCCACTAACGGTAAGTGGGACATGAAATAAGGAAGGTTGTTTGCCCCTATGAAGATATGAAGGGAAAGTATCAACCACCTCCTGCCTTGTACATCCTTGTCTTATCCCATATCTTCTCACCTTAGTCTGATGGTCTCTTGTACAACTCTGTTAGCTTTCTGAGAACCTACATATGTGTTTTTCCTGGTCTAATCCTGCACTGAGATTTGTCCTGGAAATTAGGTATGTAGAATAAGCTGTCTCCAGAAGGGAAAGAATGAAGGGTAAATAACAGCAAGGTTGGGTGGGTGCAAAAAACATGTTCAGTCCATGTTAGTGTTGCTGAATGATGTGCCAGCTGGGATGTGACGACTACCTGGCAGTACTGCCAAGACTTTCCCATTCACAACTCTTGCCTTGGAAGTATGCCGTCAAAGGAAAACGCTGGTTGGGGTGCCACTTTTCACTCTTAAATTCTAACCTGGCTCAGACATTAATCTAGACACCTTATAACTGAACGTGCTCTTGTAAATATCTGCTTGTTGGCCATCAGCTGAGAGGTTCATTGGTATGCGCTGCCTCCCCGTCAATGCGGAGTTGAGGCCTGATCACCAGAAACCTATAAATGGAATCTTTTTTTGTAACTTTTCTCTGGCTCTCTTCTCCGATTTAAGATCTATTAAACTTGAATAACGAATATATCGCTAACTACGGTGCCGTTCTGTCTCCTAGTGCCCCAGCCATTCTTGGGTACGCTGCCAGTTTAATCTTTTCAAGCTTCTTAAACCTCCAAGGATACTGATGTAAAAACAAGGTAATATGTAGTAACAACACATAGATGCTGTTTGCCCCTGAATTCCTGCTTTAATGATGCTCTCATTAAAATATACACTCTGAAAAATTAATTGTAGTTTATGCACCATGCTGAAAGCTTAATTTGTAGCTTAGTGCCCAGCCAGGGGGGTGTGGGAAAACAGGTTTGTGCCCTAAAGAGTTTGCAATCTAGATAGACATGTGGAGATAATGGGGCAGGAGGATTTAAATAACTGACACCAGCATTCCTGGACTATTAGTGAACTTAACTGGCAAGAGGTTTCATAGCGTGCCTCATCTCGGTCTCATTTGTACATTACGAACCTAGGGCTACCAACCCATGTATAAAATGAGCTAGGGCTTTCCCTTCTCTTTGAGGCATTGTTCTTTTAGTTTAAACCTACCTGCTGCTTTGGCACTTCTATTCTGGTTAATTTCAGCCCAGGAGGAGTGCTTGTGTCTGAAGCTTTTGGTTTATTCCCTAAGCCTGTCTACAGTGCGTCATGCTGCATCCAGATGAGTGATCATCCTGGCTACATAGTGAGGGGAGGTAAAGAAATTGCCTTTCACCATGGATCTAGACAAGGTCATACGAGAAGGTACCAGCAACCCCACTCCTATGCTGTGGGGAGGGAGTGGAGGAAAGAGCTTGCACTTGTAGTACATTTTATTCAAAGATTTCATCACTCCTTCCTCACAGAGGTCTTGCTAAGTAATCCATCTGCCTCCCACCCCCTTAAGAGTGAGGTAAAGTAAGGTGTCGAGAGACCAAGTCAGTTGCCATTGAGAACAGATGCCCTGTCTTAGCTCTAACCACTAACGGCAGGATTCCGAAGGGTTGCCATTTAGACACAAGTGTGTGTGGCTTATTTTTGCTCTTAGCCATTAGAGTGGTCCTAGAACATTGTATCTTGTAAGATGCTGAGGACATCCAGGAAGAGGGAAGGCAACTCCTACAAGATAGTGCACTTCGCAAAATTCTATCTTCACCCTACCCCTTTCAGTTTGGCCTCCATGCACGTTCTCCAAGGTGCAATCCACTCTGACTCAGCTCCAGTTTGAGCTTTCAAATCTGATCCCTACTTAATAGGTCAAGGAGAAGCGGGCTAGGAATGAGCTTCCAGAGGGGCAGGATGGATTCAGGGTGAAGATCTTGGAAGTGTTATACCTGTACAATACACCCTCCCCTCCACGACTTTAGAGGAGGTGAGTAAACAAGGATTCTGGTAAGAAACTCCTTCCTCCCCTCCTAAAAGAGAGAGGGTTGCCTGGGGGAGACCTGTGCTCAGTTTCCACTCAG